TATATATATATATATCAACGTATACATAGCACTCAATAGAGGTTTAAGCCTCAGGGCAGCCACCTCATGCCCACACATCCAACTTCCCTATAGCTGTCCGCACACATTGCAACATGACTGTGCAATCTCTTTACAACCCCCTTTAAAATGTACCACCAAGGGCCTACCTTAATGACCCATTCAATGTATATCAATCCAGGTAGGCCCTCCTACTGCTGCTAAATCTAAAAGGAGATTGTGCAATCAGATTGCACCTCATTTTAGGCAGCTGCATTAGCCTTCAGACTAGCGAATAGATACAAAGTGACATTATAAAACATTACGTTTAATCGTTTTCATACCTGTTTTATGTGCCATGGCCCATCGATAGCCCTCCAGGCTCCAGAACGCTGCAGATACCCAACTCTGTAGCTCTATTCCTGAAGCATCAGCCCAGAAGGATACAGCAGAGTCTCCCATCCGCCGCCTCCCCGCATCTTTCATCAGGGATTACATGAGATCCTCCGGTCCCGGCTGGTGCCTGAAATTGCAAGTTTATTCTTAGCGATGCCGATTACCAACCAAAAAAGCCACTTCTCCCCCCAAGTCCGGCCTCTCAATCACAACTGGGATCTTTTACCATTTAAGGTCAAAGCTTCATTTGGCTGAACAGACCAAGCTGAAGACTTTTCCAAACTTTCCAAATCTCGCAGAGCGTCTTCCACCAGGTTTGCAGCACTTACAGGATAAATAAACTCTTCAAAGGGGAAGAAGAGGAGAGAGGGAAAAACTCCGTCCTTGGGGGTTTTTTCTTTGTTTTTTTTTTCGCTTCTTAAAAAGAAGAGCGCGGCATCTCCTCTTCTCGCCGCGGCCAGGACAAGAGAGGCGAAGTGAAGACACCTAGCTGGGCAATCTGGTTTCTATCAGAGATCGCGCCTGTGTATTTCCAAAAATTCATAGCTCATTGAAAGATAGAAAAGCCTTCTCAGAGGAAACGCGGGAGTTATATATAGAGTCATGCCGTTATTCCCATAACTCCTTCGCGGCTAAAAATATACGCAATAAAACAATTTGCTTTATTCTTTAACCCCTTATTGGTCTCGCCGGATAGTGTGACAGAAGGCTTTGTGGTTTTTCTTTTTTTTGTGCTTTTTTAACTAACTCTAATCTACTGAAATATGTCCCAATCGCAGTCTGTTGTTATCATTAGAATTAACCAAGAGGCAGATCACCAGGACAATGCCATACGGCTCTGCAGTGTATATGTGTTAAAATAAATGGATCCCCCATCACTAAAATCTCATATGAGATTTAACACGGGTAACTCCGGCACTCCAGCTGTTGTGGAACTACAGGTCCCATGAGGCATTGTAAGGCTGTGACAGCCACAGGCAGGACTCCCAGATGGGATTTGTAGGGTCACCAAGGCTAGTGTGCCAAGGTTGCCTATCCCTGATTTGAAGAGGTAGTAAACCACCAACCTGCACATGGCAATAGTGGGTCCGCCAGAGGTGTTTCTTATAATGTGCTATTGCGCCTTACAGGTGATCCCCTCCAGCGCTACAATGTCAGCACTCTCTTCCTTCACCAGCACTGCAATGTCAGCGCTTTATTCCTCTGCCAGTGCTGCAAAGTCAGTGCTCTTTTCCTCCGCCAGCACTGCAAAGTCAGCACTCTTTTCCTCCGCCAGCACTGCAAAGTCAGCACTCTTTTCCTCCGCCAGCACTGCAAAGTCAGCACTCTTTTCCTCCGCCAGCACTGCAAAGTCAGCACTCTTTTCCTCCGCCAGCACTGCAATGTCAGCGCTCTCTGCCTTTGCCAGCACTGCAATGCCAGCGCTCTTTTCCTAAACCAACATTGCAATGTCAGCACTCTTTTCCTCCGCCAGCACTGCAATGCCAAAGCTCTTTTCCTCCACCAGTGCTGCAATGCCAGAGCTCTTTTCCACCACTGGCACTGCAATGTCAGCACTCTTTTCCTCCGCCAGCACTGCAATGTCAGCACTCTTTTCCTCCACCAGTGCTGCAATGTCAGAGCTCTCTATCTACACTAGCGCTGCAATGTCAGCACTCTTTTCCTCCACCAGTGCTGCAATGTCAGCGCTCTTTTCCTCCACCAGTGTTGCAATGCCAGAGCTCTTTTCCACCACCAGTGCTGCAATGCCAGCACTCTTTTCCACTGCCGGCACTGGCATTTTTTCCCAGTCTTCTTCCAGGTTTGGCACCTTCGGCCTCTTGATTGGCTGAGCCAGGGTGATGTAATTCCTGCGCTTGCACACGGGAGTTACTTAATTTCAGCACAGGACCTTGCTGAGCCTGCTCACTGAGCTGCGCATGCACAGCTCAGGGCACACAAACACTGACGGACAGCATTCATGACAGAAGACACATACAGGATCTCTTCTGTCATAAAAACCCGACAGCATTTTTTAAAAACATTAACTTTACTTCCACTTTGGAATGATATTCCAAAAGTTATTTTTAATATTATTAAACCGTCAGCTTTCAATATAATAACACCTGGCAATCCTGCAATGAAGGTGCCTGTTAAAGTACTTCCTGTTATAGGGTGACAACGCTCTGTCCCTGTTGCCTGCTCACAGCGTTGTCCCACGGTCTTCCAGTGGAGAATACAAGGGACTTTTCCAACACACACTACACAGGCATGGTCCACTGGTGCCATCATTAGGAAACCCACACTGAGATATGCCATGCAGTCATCTCTGGAGTGCCGCCCTTGAACTTAGCCCTAGCTCGTCTGTCACGCGATCACGGTTTAAAGGTTAGAAAACTAGATGATGCTCGACGTCCTCCAGCCAGGAAATGAGAGGGGGGTCTACTGACTTGCTGCAGCTTCTAATGCACATTAAGAGAAGCTCATAGTGTGCAGTGACATCAGAGGAAGCCATTACAGTCCAGTAGAGAAGCCAGAACAACTGTGCAACACTGAAGGTTGGAATGCAGCTTTAATCTTCTTTCACAAGTAGATGTTTCTTTTTACGGCATTGACAGGGTCACTTTAACTTGTATAAACAACATTTCTTGGCGGTTATAAACATTAATAATAAATACATTAACTGACACGTTAGCTAGCTGTAGCGTTCCCGGCATTGAGCAGGTTAAGGAATGACGTGAGATAAGTTTAGTAAATCTTGCTGGTGGTTTGTCTTCTGCTCTCCTGTGTTGGCACAGAGCCTGGGTGGTCTGTATACATACAGTAAAACAGCAGAGATTTCAAACAAGATACCCGTAAGCCCCTTCTTGTACTTCTTTATAGATAGCTATCGGTATAAAAAGCCCTGAGCCCAATCGGATCAACGTAAAGCTTTAATGACGGGAGTTATATATAGAATGGGTGATACCTGTGTAAATGCCGGGCTAAAAACGGGTTTATGAGCCAAGCCAACGAGGCCTACAGAAAGAAAGCTCAGCCCCTCCTGACTCTTTTTTTTCTCAACGGTATCTTAAAAATCAGTTTACAAAGCTCTACAGATCATCAGAATCACATGCCGCAAGTTGAATGAATGAAAAAAAAGACAAGATGATGAGGAGGGGGGGCTATCGAGAATCTAAAGTAGAGACAAAATAGGGACTTGATTTACTTTCCCGTTGACCCATCAACCCGATTCCTGCTGCAATTTCTGCATTTGCATTGCTGCCCAATGTAAATACTGACCATCTCAGCTCAGATGTTGTTTGTTGCTCCCCTGCTCTCCATGGGACAGCTCTTAGGCTTTGCCAGTGGCTGCTCCGCCATTGAGAAGTGATGAGGACAACGGTGTGCCCATACAGGGAAGTAGTGGAATCTTTAACTGGGGTTATTGGGAATTTGGGCAGCAGACAGGAGTTGGGAAGACAAGCAAACGAAGACTACAGAAAGTAAGGTCGGCCCCTCCCGACTCTTTCCTAAAGACGAAATATGAAAATGGAGCTATGTGTTTTTCGCAACGGTATCTTAAAAATCAGTTTACAAAGCTCTAAAGATCATCAGAATCGCATGCCGCAAGCTGTATGAATGCAAAAAAAATGATTTCCGATGAGGAGGGAGGGGCTATCAAGAATATAAAATAGCGACAAAATAGCGTCTTGATTTACTTTCCCGTTGACCCATCAACTCGATTCCTGCTGCAACCCCTGGAAAGGTCCAATGCAAATACTGACCATCTCAGCTCAGATGTTGTTTATTGCTCCACTGCTCTCCACGTGACAGCTTTTAGGCTTTGCCATTGGCTGCTCCGCCATTGAAAAGTGATGAGGACAATAGTGTCCCCATACAGGGAAGCACTGGAATCTTTAACTGGGGTTAGTGGGAATTGGGGCAGCAGATAGGAGTTGGTAAGGCAAGCAAAGGCATTGGAAGGAGCCTTCCATTCAAGTTAAGGAGGTTTAAAGGAGAACTATGAGGTGAGTGCTTTTCACTCACCTCATAGTTCTAGCCGACCTGTGACAATGAGACTGTCACAGGTCGGCTCAGTAGATCGGGAAGTGAGCGAACGCATACCGGCGTTCGCTCACCTCTCGATCCTGTCACGGCTCTCTGCCGTGACAGGGGAGGGGCTGGATTCCCTCCTCCCGCTCGGATCCTCCAGCGCTGACTGGCGGAACGGACGGGGAGGGGGCGGGTACAGCTGACTCTGCCTCTAGATAGGCGGAGCCAGCTGTCACTCACGCATCTGGGCGGATCCAGACATAATTGTCGGGATCTGCTTCAGCTGCGGCTTCTGAGTAAGAGCTGTAGCTCGCAGTATACTGCGGCATCAGATGTGTAAGGGCCAAACACATCTCCTCACCCAGCAACCTGGTACACTCTGGTTGGCGTCCTGCCAAGCTCCTGGCAATCAGTGATGTCACTGGTTGCCAGGAGCTGGATGGGACGCCGGCCAGAGCATCGCAGGTTGCTAAGAGCGTGACAGGAAGATGCAGAGCATGCAGAGAGTGGCGTCACTCTTGTGTCTGGTGGCGCCGTCTCCTCTACCCACCTCCTGCTGCTTTGATTTTGAGCACCACCACCCATTCCCCCCCCCCACCAAAATGGCTTGGGACACCACTGATAACATCGTCCGTGTGTGTCATCTAGAACAATGGCTCCCTCTGCATCACACTTTAATTGGGAAGAGTTAAAGTGACATTAAACCCTCAGATTTTTTTAACATAGAACAATACTGTAATGTGCGCCTTACTGTAATCCATGGTCGTTTCCCTTCTCTTTGCTGCTCTTCATTTTAAATCCGTATCTGTTCTCATGCTGGGCAGAACTTCTGTTTTGCAGCAGACTGCCTTGTCTCAGGAATGGATACATGGTGTCTGTGTATAGGTTTGTAACCTGAGCCAGCACTACAGGAAGAGGTCCTGATCTGCAAAGGGAAGTTCTCCCCCAGCATGAGAAGAGATAAGGATTTAAAAGGAAGAGCAGCAAAGAGAAGGGAAACTACCATGGATTACAGTAAGGCACACATTACAGTATTGGTTTATGTTAAAAAACCTGAGGGTTTAATGTCACTTTAAGTTGGTCGTACACCAGTAGAATTTAATTCATAGAAATTTGTTTTCGGAACATTAGTTTGATATTCTAATAGGTTATGGGGTCAAATCGACAATTATTTGTGACCGTAACGATGCAGTCAGGAAAGGAAAATTGCGATAAGTATGAAATACAATTTTCCTGTTTCCCTGACAGCTCCATGTCGGCACACGAGTGGGAAATAACTCGCAAAACA